GCAAGAGCATCTTTTCATTCTGCAAATGTTATGAAGCTTGTGATAAAGTTGCATGGCTTGGCAATGCCAATTTGGTGCTGTTTGCGTGCCAGAACTGCTGAATGAGTCTTTTATCACGCATTTGTAACAGTAGCTGTCGGAGAGGGAGCTTCCAGGAGGAGTGCTTTCAGAAGAATGCTTTTGTAAAGGAACACTGTCCTGCAAAGAAGTGCTTTGCAGGGGGAGGAAAAAAAAACATCAAGCCCAACATTTTTCTTGTGTTAGTGTTGTAAAAGTTGCTCGTTAATTTGGGTGAATTTTTGCTTTCATTTCTTGACAATTTTGCCTCTCTTCTTTGTGCTTGTGAGCACTAGTTGAGCTCCAAGCGTTTAGGGAGATAAAAGACATTTGGATTCTAAGCAACAAATGCCAAAGTGCTTGGTTTGTGTAACTTCCCATCATGTCCCCGGGCGTGAGCCATCCCTGCCATGTCCCTGCAGGGAGCAGGATGGGACACCTCTTGTGGCATGGAGAGCAAGTGCTGCCTCCACTTCTGGGGACCTGAGCTGGCTCAGTGCATCGCTTCCATTCAAAGCAGGAGGAGAGCATAAGGAGAAGGAGAGCATAAGGAGAAGGTGAGCTGGGAGCGGCTGTGCCCCGCAGTGACAGAGCCAGGTGACCTCTGTTGTGTTGGCTGGTGAGCTGTTTTCCATCTGTGCACGAGCAATGTGCTTCTGGATGGCAGGAGCTCCAAGCTTGTCCTCCCCAGTGACTGCCACGCTATTAAGGATTTTTAATGGTAATCCTGCTTTAAAAAAGAATTAAAAAATTACACTGATGTCTGGAAATGGTTTGGCTGCTGCTTTATGAGCAGCACCTAGCTGTGCTATTCCTAACGGACCTCCCTGCAGTGAGGTGGAGCAGTGTTCTGCTCTGTTTTCAGCTTGGTTTTGGATTGCTTTGCACTGCTCTGAAGCCCCCAGCTCGCTGTGTAGCCGCTCATCTCGCTGGCGCTGAGGCAAGTGAATACAACATTAAAAGAGGAATGTGATTATAATCCTGTAAAAAAGAAAATGACAGAGGAATTTGGCAGCGATTGCAGCCTGCGAATGTAATGTATAATATTTTATTCATTTAAAAAAACGATTAGATTTCAAGCTGACAGTTTAAATGACAAATCACCTTAAGAAGATTTTTGCGCACAGTGTAAGAGCTGTTGGCGTGGCTTTCCCTTGCTAACTGATATCCAAAGTTCCTCATCCCAGAACATCCGGGATGCAGCTCACCGTGCAGAACTCTTCAGGGAACGTGGGAGCTGGGTTTGTGCCCCACATCCCTCGGGGATGCTGTCAGCTTGAGGTTGTTTGACAGAAGGGAGAGCAGCACTGAGCCGAGCAATCACGCGGCTGATCGGCGCTCCGTTGTGCCGCGTGTAAAACCTGCAACAAAAGCAATTTCTCCTCTCAAATAATTGATGGCCTTAAGTAAAATTTAGATGCTTGGTGTCCCTGGTGTATGGGCATGTGGGAATCTCCTGTTTGATCTCCTTGCTTGGAGCTTTGTTGCCTGAAGGATGAGGAGCCCCAGGTTTTGCCTGCAGGCCTAAGAGCAGCTGTATGGGCTGGGAAAAGAATGGGAGAGGAGAGGGATCCTGCTGTCCTGGTCCCTTTTGCTATGGGGAGAAGCTGACTGCAGTTTGCTGAGCTTTCCTGCATGATGTGAGTTTTTAAAACCTGATCCATGCAGGATTTAAAGTTTTAAAAACACCGCAGGAGGAATTTTTAGCTTAATAATTTCACAATTCCTTCCCTTTGGGATGGAAAAAATGACTCAGGTAGAGGTGAGTTGGGCCAGGGCTGTATCTGCTTGTGAAGTCTTGGGGTTTGGGAGCTCCTTTGAAAATAGCTGCCAGAGCAGCTGGCTGCATGGAGGTACCACACCGAGGGAAGGCTGCTTCATCCTCAGCTGTTGGCACGAGAGGAGAGGTCAGCTGGAGGGAGGCCAGAACATCGTGATCGAGTTGACTGGAGGTCTGGAAATGCTCGTTTGAGAGAGCCTGGGTTGTTGGGCTCCAGCTAAGAGAGGAGGGAGGGAGAGAGTGAGTCTGTAGGTAGCTAGCAGTGCATGGTGAGGAGGGTGGTCTCTCTTTTCCATGGTCACAGTGGATAGGAAAACGGGTCAGGGTCTGATTTGTGGAGAAAAGGCTTGAGATTAAAGTATTTGTCAACGTTTTCCCTGGAAGCGACTATTAAACACTGGATTTGGTGGTTTGGGGAGCTTGGAAGATAATGCATTAGAGATATTTCTCGTTGAATGATGATGGAGGTGCAGTTTGTTTATTCTCCCATGTGCAGGAGTTGTCCAGGTGCTTTCCTGAGGTCCTTCTGCACAGCACAGCCCTGAACTAAAGGGTTTTTTTTTTCAATCTAAAATAAGCAAGAGGTGACGGGTTATGTTCTGTGGCTTCAGTTTTCAGGAGTCTTTTCAAGAATGCCAACTTGTCTTTGTCTGGAGGAAATAACCATTTTATAGGGATGAGCAGCCAAGGGATCTGTGTTGTTGATGGGTGAGCAAGGTGTGCAGTCCCAGGAAGGAGTTTTTCTGGGCTGCAGATGTGAGTAGCAGCACATCATTTTGGGTCTCTCAGTGTGGGTGAGCTCTTCAGTTTTGCTGTGGGTTCCAGGACTCACAGCAGCACGGCATGGGAACTCTGTTGTAGGACAGAAGGTCCTGTGCTGCCACGGGGACATGGCTGGTCTCTGTCAAAGCAGCAACTGTGCAACGTGTGTGTGTGTCTGAGCTGCTTCCCTGCCTGCAAATAGAAGGAAGGAGATCCTGCAAGAGAGAGCTGGTGCTGCTCTGGGGACCAGAGTGGACTCGTTGCTGTCATTTGAGGATGGTTTTGCACTTTGATGGCTTGTCCTCCTGCAGGGCAGGCTGAAGGGAGCTGGATTCAGGCTGCCTCCTTCACTGCCCTTAGCACCCAGTTGGGCTGTGAGTTGTTTCTGCTGGTCTGGAAGGAAGCTTTATTCTGGAACAGCACTGTGCAGTTTCCAGTAACGTCAAAAAGAACCCAGAGCAGAGCAGGAGGAGGGCTGTTAAAAACTCGGAGGCGAGATTGCCAAGTGAAAGCAAACCAGAACAATCTCTGCTCTTGGGGCTTTGAGCTCTCAGCGCCGAGACCCGAGTGTGCACAAACACAGCAGTGGATCCTGCCTGGGGATTGGGAAATGCTGCTGTGGGACCTGCTGTTCTCCCTCTCTTTTTACAAACCTGCTGTCCCACGTGGCTCAGGCACTGCAGATTGCAAACCACGGGTGTGTTAGAGTGAATGATTCTCTGTGCCAGGCCTTGCATTTTGGGAATATATTTGTCTTCATTCTTGAACTGCAGCTTTTGAGCCATTTATTCAGTCCCAAGGAAGCTGTAATGCTTGGGAGGGAGGTTAAGTTCTGTAATGAATAGCTCTGGCACAGAGTTGAAATCCCTAATGCAGAGGGACCTGAACAACCCTCTGAGTGTGTCATAGCTATCAGACGTGCCTGGGATTTTTGTATATGAAAGAAGTTAGGGGAAAAAAGCATTCCTTGGTTGCCTTTGGCTGCCCGTGGTTTCCATGACAGGCAGCCGAGCTATTGGCATGCACTGCTCAAAGGAGCCCCCAGCTCATGTTCCTTACCCCCACCTCTCCCACACATTGTCTTACTGGAGGCAGCAGCCTCAGGCAATTCAGGCAGGAGCTGCAGAGGGTAGCATAGCAGCTCATGCTGCCAAATGTGCAGTTCTTTTGCTCTGTTTCCAGAAGCAGCTTTTAGGAACCTGCATTTTGCTCTGCCTCCAGCCTGAGTTTCTATTTAAAACACCTTTAATTGCAGAATTGAAAGGCACTCAAACCGTTACGAGCAAGGTCACTCTTCTTAATTCAGGTACCCCAAGGATCCAGAAATCTTGTTTGTTAAGCCTCAGATGTACATTTCATTCCTAAAGGAGTGTGCAGATGCTATTAAACCTGCCATAGGCAGGTGAGCTTGTGCAGTGGGAGCAGCAGGAGCCCGTGGCACAGCTTGGCAGCTGGCTGTGCTCCCCGTGCTGCTGTTGGAGCAGCAGTGGCAGATAAGCAGCTGTGGCTGTTCTGCTATCACATCGTTTGGGAGGCTGCAGCGTTGTGCAAGTTGTTGCAGGACAATTACAGGCATTGCTGGAATAAAAAAAAACGCTCCCTCAGCAATCTAATATTTGTTTCTTATTATATGTTCAACTTTTGCTGGCGTCTGAATGGTTGTCACCTGTTCTGTCAAGGTCCCTTCATTCAGCACTGGGATCTTTCCAAGCGTGTTGAAACCTCATTGGCTTTCAGTTTTCACTGTGGTCGCTGGCCATGCTGCAGCAGGAGAGTCAACACGTAAACATTTTCCTTTACTTTGGAGTCACAGCGTAGCTTTCCTGTTTTCCATCCTTGCTGCAAGGCCTTTTTCCAGGGTGACTCTTTTGTTTTTAAATACGCTGCTTTCTCCTTCTGCCTGAAGTCAGACCCAGAAATCCTCTTGGCCGTTCATCCCTTTATACAGTTAAGTGTAGAAATTATGAAATGCATCGGGCTGGCTTTGCTTCTTGTCCAGGAATGAGGGAATGGGGACTGGGCAGCAGCTGAGGGAAATGGAGGGCAGAGAGGAAGCGCATAGCTAAAAGTGAAGCTGTGGATTATATATAGATGCCTGCTGTGGCACTGCTGCTCAGGTTGGAATTGCTTCTCTAAATATGACCCAGCTGAGTGCTGGGCAGTGTGGTTAGAGGGCTTGGCTACCTGTTGGTGAGCAACAGCTTCACTGACCCAAGGGAAAAAGCACCTTTTGGGATTCTTCACTGAAGATTTGTTGTGGCAGGTGGGGTGGGTGGCATGGCTAAGGGCAGAGGTAAAGCTGATCGGAGTTACGTTTGTACTTTTGGTGTTTACTAACCAAGGGTCACCTTCTCCTCTCCAGCTGTAGTGGTAACTTTTCGTACAATGTGTTCTCTTCCAGCACTGAGTCGACTACTGGCACTTTAAAGATGCATGCAAGCAAAGAAGAAGAACTGGAAAATGAAGGGTTAAGGACGTGCTCCATTCTGCAGGTAGGACACAGTTGTGCTGCCAGGATGTGCTCAGTGCCTGGTTCTGCCTTACCCAGCTGGGACTGTTTGTGTTATAACTGTGGGATAATTACTGATTTCGGTGGCTGACCATGAGCAGTAATTGTGAGGCACTGGGAAAGGGGAAAGATGGGAGAGGGGGTGAAGAGAAATTCTTCCTTTAAGGCTGCAGAGTGGTTAAAATGACCGTCCTGTGAATGGCTTTCTAGTCTGATGGCTGAAATAAATGATCTCGTGATGGTTTGCTCTGTTAACCTTTGAGCCATGCCCTGCTCTGTGCTTGGTATAGCCCTTGGGTTGTGCTCCAGCATTCAGAGAAAGGGGCTGGTTTTTCTTTCATCTGTATGTTGTGCCTTGGACAGGATGGAGTTTAAATGTCCCGTGCAGTTGTACTTATCTCCTGGCTGGTGCTCACATGTGTTTGTGCTGGACCACTGATAGGCTTTTTTCCCTCAATCTAAAGAATACATATCACTTAGTAAGTGTGTATTTGCCCTGTACTGTGGGTGAGGGGGCGAGGAAAGTGATGCATTTCCCTCTTGGCTTCTGTGGGTGGATGATGTACTCTGGGAAATAGCCCTCCCTTTTTCCATTATGCCTTTGAACAGCTTTGAAGAAAAAACTGCATCTCATACCAGAGCAAAACCATCTCCTGTGCAAGAAACAAAGTTCTGTGGCTAAGCTTTGGTGAGCAGACAGTAGCTGGTGGGGAATTCATTCCCTTGGTTTGTGGTTGTATGACAGTATCCCTATAGAAAGGGAGATTTTCCAACCCGAAAATGATTTCTATCCCAATTGTGCCATGCCTGGAGTCTGCTTGCTGCTGGGCTTCTGCTGTCCTTGACCCCGTGCGAGCAGAACAGGACTGATGCTGCCACCATAACTGTTGCTTTCCTGTCCCATTTCCAGTTCTGCAGGCTAAATCCAGATTTCTTGGCTGATGGAAATGGGCTGATGGAGTCTGCTGTAGCACGGGGTGTGCTGGGGTCTCCTGAGAAGTGTCCTCCTTTGAAGTTGCCTTGGTAGTTGATTAATCACATACTAGGTGGGTCTTCAAATACCATCTGTCAGTCACCTTGCCAGCAGTGAATGTTGGTGCTCTCTCACAACTTGGCATTGCCTTCCCATTAGAGATAGAGAATTTGGTGAAATGAAGAGGGGGAAGCTTTGGACCCTGCCAGCCCAGCTTGGTAAACAGAGTCCGGGCCTCTTGGGAGAGAGTATGGAGAAAAGGATCAAGTTTTAGATCCTCAGTATTTACCACTGAAAGATAGTAATAGTGCACTTGGATTATTTGTGTGGAAGGTCACTGAGTGAATGGAAGGGATTCCTGTGTGTTACATCTGCAGAAAATAATTCGAGGCTTTGCACACAGAGGCAGATCATGGTGTTAGAGCAGCCTGTGTCATCCTCTGCGTGCTCCCAGCCCTGCTCTGGCACATGCATGGCGTCCAGTATCTTCTGTAGGAGCTTTGAGAGCCAAACTCTAAGGATCTCTGTTTTTAGGACTTAGCCCCTTTTCCTCAACTCTTCCTTTTCCCCCCACTCTCCTCTGATGTCCTCTCCCTCCCAGTTCATTTGTTTTTAAAATGATTGTGCTATTGTGTTCATCGATATGCACATACCCCATCTTGTTTTTCTCTTGGACTAAAATTGCAAAGCAAATCTGTTTATGGTTTTGGTGAGCTAATTCTTCCCCACCCTAGATTTTTAAATAGACTCTTTCTCTACCAGGCTTGTGGAGCTCGCAGGGATCTACTGAAGTAATGAGAAAAATATGTTGTGTGCTAACCTTCCTTTTTTGTAAAACTTTGTTTACAGCACCCTATTCCTAGCAGTACATTTGGAAAGTGTGTTTCTTGATGCTGAAGCAAATAGACAACTTTGAAGGAAGAAAACGGTTATTCAGTGCATTCAGAAGTGAAACCTTTGGAGTTTTCCACTTGAAGCACTTGGATTGTGTGGCAGACTGTGGTGAGCTGTGCTGAGCTGTCATGCAGGTTGTTCAGGGCTCCCTCCCTCCTGGGAAGCTCCACTGCATTGGCTCGGGTCAGGCAGCTGCAGGTAGGAGCAGGGACAGATGCTGAATGCAGCTGGTGGTTTTCCAGACAGGGCCGTGCAGCTGTGAAGCTGGTTTGGGAACTGAGCTCTGCTTTCATTTTCGTGTTGGCCCATTCAGGATGTGTAGCTGTGAAGTTTTCCCAACTAGCAGCCCAGTGCTTTCCTGATGTGTTCACATCCCTCCATCCTTCCCTTCCTGCTCCACCCAGAAGAGACACTCTTTCTTACTGACCTGCCTGCTCAGGGTATGTATAAAACATCACTCTGACAAGTTCAATTGAGCCTCAATGGAGGCTGAGGCCACTAGATGCTTAGTGCATAAAGTTGTTGGCTAGACCCACACTACATTGTATTGCACAAAAAGCAAATCCTGTCCTGTGTGGCCTTTTCCAGACCTATTGCCTCATACTTTTACTGTTGTCATCAGCTGAAAACGATCTGAGTGCTGTAGATATCCACAGCTTGGTTTGACTCTTGGATTGGGAATGTCTCCTTGCTGGAAGGTTTTGCACCTGCTGCTGTTTCTGTGCTGGAGCTGAGCGGGGTTTGGGCTGAGGGCAGTGTGGCTGCCTGCCCTGTGCTGTCCCCAGCCCTGCTTCCTTGGGGATTACAATTTAGTTACAGCCACTCTGCTCAGCCAGGGTGCCTGGAGGCTGTGGAAGCTTTTCTGCCTTCTGGTATCTGTGAATGGATGAGCACATGCTTAGAGCCTTGGCTGAGGCATCAGGGAATATCTCAAGTTGGAAGGAACTCATAAGAATCATCCAGTCCAACTGCTGCCTCCACACAGGACCACCCAAAAATCAGACCATATATCAGAGCACTGTCCAGGCCAGGTTCAAGGGTGAGGCGTCATGCAAAGGGAGAAGGCTTTTTGGCATTCAGAGCAGCCCTAGAGCTGTGATACTCTGCTTCATCTGGATATGTACACCAGCATTTATGAATGAAGTTGCAAACACAACTCTCACATAGGTGTGTTCTGACTTGCTGGAGGTCACCTTCAAAACAAAGTGATTAAATGTGAGCCAAACTCACACTCATGACTCCAGCTGGATCTGAGGTCTGACAAATGCTGCTGGTGGGGCTGTCTGCAGTGCTGAGGGAGTTGTCTGCTTCAGCATACAGCAATTTGGGTTTTATTTCCTAAGCAACACTTGGAGCTGAAAGGGAAGCTCACTGATAAATCTCTGTCTCAGTATAATTCAGTATAATCTCTTAGCTGTGTGCTTATATGCAAAGTGGGAGAGTTTCTGAAAAGGTGACCCATGAGGAGGGTGATCTCTGATAAATAAGTATGTGGTGACTCACGTGTCCTGGGTTCAATCACTTCCTGGGACCTTGAGTGAGTTATTGAACGTTGCTCAGTGCTGCAGGTCCTTTTCTGTGACAGCATTTCCCTTCCACCCAGCAGCGCTGTGGCAGTGAAGGCAGTCAGAGCCTCCTCTGTAGACAGTGAATGAGAAGCCCAGAGCAGAAGGCCTGAGCCTTTCTTCTGTTCTCCTGGAGAAAAGAGAACAGCATCAACTTCAATGGTTGTACCAGTGTCCAGGGACCTTGCTGTCACTTTGAGATCCCACATAGAGCTCCCTGTGGATGTTCCTGGGAGGCAGCTGCTCCTTGAGCTGGGCAGCATCCCTTAGCATCACGTTCGTTTTTTTTCCATTAGCTTGAAGTCACCAGTCAGCTTTGGTGGAGCAGGTTTCCAGTGCTCCTCTGCCTTTTTCCTTTAAAGTATTCTGCTTTTGCCCATTGTATACCTGTGGTTATGTAGCTGGGTACAGTGCCTTGTGCACACTGCTGAGAAACCCGCTAAAGCACCTTACTGGCAATCTTTTGGGGATGTAAGCTGGGACCAGCTCTTTCATCTTTGGCGTATTTATTACATGAAGTTCTTATCAGCTGTGGAAGGGGCATGGCCCAGTGGTGAGGAAACCCGTTCCTCTTGCAAAGAACCTTTCACCTGATCATCATGAAGTCTTTGCTTCTGCTTGTCTGTGGCAGCCCTTCCCCAAACCCCAAATTCTCTGGGTATCTTTGCCTGAATTACAAGCAAGCAGTAGCTTGCTGCCCTTAGTGCAGAGGTGCTGGAGGCTGGGTTAAGGTAAGGCTCTTGGGGAAGTTGGAAGCTGTTTTCGTGGCGGTGTGGAGATTTCAGGCACGTCTGTAGCCAGGAGGTAAAGCAGATCCCCAGTATAGGGGATGCACTGCATGCAAGCGCTTCTCCAGGCTAACACTGGGCTTTGTGATTCTCACCCTGGGGACGGTGAAGAAGAGACACTGGAGAAGTGTTCCTTGGCCAATGGAAGGCTGAAATCCTGTGGGACCATTGCCAAAGATGGCAACTCGTTTAAAGTAGAAGGTGAGGGCATCATCACTGCTAGCAGCTTTGCACCACTCAGCAGTGCTTGCCAGGTGTAGGGAGACTTGAGCCCGATTTAGAAGAGGGGAGAGGACTGATAAGTCCTTTGGGTATGAAAGCAGATTGTTTAGAAGAGGCTCAAAAATTGGGGTGTTACAGCTGTGTAGCATTTGGGGTAGCATTGCACGCCATTTTCCTGGCTGTTGCTGGAAGGTAGTACGGTTTTGCAGCATTCATCCAAGGAGCTCATTTACTGAACCTCTCACTTGGTTATTTTCCCCAACGCTGGCCACTCAAGTAAGCAGCTCAGCATGAGGATTTGTGCGATTGATCTGAAGGGATCTGACTGTGGAGCTGCCTTGTGTGCTTGTGAGCTGATGGGAGCTGCATCCCACAGGCTGCAGTGTTTCTTCTCCTTGTTTCCCTGCTGCTTCCACATCCACGCACTTCATCTCTCATCCGCAGGTGATTATGGGCTTTGTAGGGGGGGAATTCCTGCTGTCCTGAATCTTATCCAGCTTGACTTGCAGTCCTTTTGCTGCAGTATCATTGAGATGCTTCT